ACACCCCCAGGCTCAGAGATGATCCCGAAGTAGTTCTAAGGCGCTTCAAAACCATTTTCATGACTCATAACCCCTCCTGGTCAGATGTCATGCAGCTTCTCGAAAGCCTCTTAACCTCAGACGAAAAGACCCAAGTACTACGCCACGCTGACCAATTTCTAGCCGATCAGCAGCATCAAAACCACTCCATGCCTAATAGCGTACCTAGGCAAGATCCAAATTAGAATTATAATTAGGAAGAGGGACAGAATGCAATACGTATGCTAAGGAGGACTAAAAAAAGGCAGGAGATAAAACTACAAACTGGTCCAAAGTGACAGCTACTGTTCAGGGTCCAGAAGAACACCCTTCAGACTACTTTGAACGACTCTGTAAAGCTATACGCCAGTATGGAAACATGGACCCTGAAACACCTGCCACTTTGCCTGTGTTAAGACTTGTATTCATAAGTCAGGCTAGTGAAGATATTAAAAAAAAGCTCCAACATAACACTAAGAGTGTTGAGAGTAAATCCATAGCATTAATCTTAGCCATTGCTACTAAAACTTTTAATAAAAAGAAAAGAAAAAAAAGGAAAAAAAGAAAAACAAAAAATGCAGAAAAACCAGTCTTTTGAGATCATAAAGCCACCCGCAGCTTACTTCTCTGCACAATTAAATCCAGTGGCAAAGTGGGGAGTAGGCTGCCTTTGCGCAGTGGCAGCAGCTGCAACAATAGTCAAGAAAGCTCAGGAATTAATCCTCAGATACCCCCTTATCCTAAAGGCTCCACACGCAGTAACCCTCCTCCTCCTCCAGAAAAAACACACAACATTTTTCTCATCAAAAAATAAACAAATATGAAACCGCACTTTTAATGGCCACAAGCCTGGTCATAGAAAAATGCAATACCCTGAATCCGACTACCTTATTACCTTTACCCAGCAAGAGTAAACCAGACTCCCACAGTTGCCTACAAGTTACAGTATTTTCAAACAAACCCAGGGCAAATCTCAGTAACTTACCCTTAGATAACCCTAACTTAATTTTTTATGTAATTAACTCTTCAAAAATAATCAACGGAGTTAAAAAAAAAAAAACAGGTTATGCAGTAATAACTCCATTTAAAGTGCTTAAAGCTAAACCACTGCCTGAGCAGTTGTGCGTGGTAGCGGACTGTGGCTTCCAGCTTGTGCCGTGCCCTGGGCCCTCACCAGGCTGCTTTCGTTTTTTTCTCAAAGTGAAATGCCGAAAGTTTTTGCACGTGTACTGAGAGACAGGGAAGAGTAGAACTGTTCGTTTCTCGAGAGCTATATGGCATGTTAGGCATGATGTATATTACCGCGAAAGTGTTTGTCATGGTGTGAAGTTCTGAATGTCCTGGAATGGTTTCTCTTTAGTAAGCTTGATAGTTTTTTTTTGTTTTTTTGTTTGTTTGTTTGTTTGTTTGTTTGTTTTTTACTTTCTGTACCTGATTTTTCGTGAAATAAAGTAATTAAAAAGAATAGAATATGGTGATTGCCAGACAGAAGGATAGGGCTACCTAAAACAGCCCTTAAACCTTATCTACAACAACTTCACCAAAACAAGCATTTAAGTTGCAAAAAACTTGCTGCTATCACTAATAAGCTGTTCTACGCACCCGGAGTCTACCAGGAAGCAAAAAAGCTTTTAAAACACTGCAGTATATGCAAAAAAAATTAATATCAAAGGGGAAAAATCAAAATCCCCTGGAACCCACCCCTGGGCTTATACTCCCTTTAAAAGATTACAAATAAATTTTGCTGATATGCCTAAAGACAATGGGTACAAAAACCACCTAATAATTGTTGACCAACCCACGGGGTGAGTAGAAGCCTTCCCCACCAGAAGAGCTACAACACAACAAGTAGTAAAAATACTCCTTAACAAAATTATACCCAGGTTTAGTCCACCACATATCATTAAAACAATCAAGGATCACATTTTACTGCTGACATAAATAAAACACTGATCAGCTGCCTAGGAATAGAATGGAAATTCCATACCCCTTAGCATCCAGAAAACTCAGGACAAGTAGAGAGAATAAATCAAACCTTGAAACACAAAAAATTGAAAAGCTATGTGCTGAGAGCAGGTTAAAATAGACTAAGGCTCTACCACTGGCTCTTATGTCCATCAGAACCACCCCCAAGAGAAAACTAAAGCTCAGCCCTTATGAGCTGTTGTTTGGACACCCTGTTCCCCAACATTCCCCCTTACTACCAGCTCACACCTCCTCTCTCTTAAGCGATGAAGAACTCACCTCTTATATTTTATCTCTACAGTCTCAGTTAAAATCTCTCCATAGGTATGCTGCTTTAAGCCAACCCTTACCTGCCGATGTTCCAACACATCGCATCCAACCTGGAAACCGGTTGTATGTAAAAACTTGAAAACGGTCTCCCCTTGAACCTAAGTGGCAAGGACCATATCAAGTCCTCCTCACCTCCCACACCGCCATAAAAGTAGCAAAAAAGAACAACTGGATTCATTATACTCGTACAAAGAAGACAGAAGTTTCACCAGAGCTCAGGATCGGCTCCAACGCAAGCTTCCCTAACCTGAAAAAGGGGAAGCCAGAAGACGACGACTGTGGAGTTTGCGGGGGCACCGCACGCCCACCTGACCGTGACAAGGGTAAGCCAGAAGCAGACAAAAAAAATAAAAACAAACACCTCCTGGACCTGCAGCCCATTAAATAATATAAAACTCAAACTAACCAAAGTCTACTAATAAACTATCACCCTTTTGGGGTCCTGTCCAGCCCAAAGAACACCGAACTCCAAGTACTGCATCCTTTAAACACTTTTAGATCAGCCAAAACCGAGCACTTTGAGACTATAACATACCACAGAAAAACAGTTATTAAAGCTGCAGGGTTGTTTATACTGTTTGTGCTGATTTTGTTATAATATGACTTTTATAACTACGTTATTTCTAATCTCTCTCTTTGCTAGAGAAATAAGTCTTTTACAGGGGTCAGCTATAGCTACCAGTTACTGCAGATGTGTTAATCCTAGCACCCGCAGTTTTCCTGTCTAAATAAGCGACTACAGCGGCAAAATTTAACCAAGGGCACTAATCCTATCTGCACCCCCATCTCCTCTTTAAATAATACCTTGTAGTATTGTTTCACTAATACCTCCCGGGGACAATGCTTCTTCAATGAAACTACAAACCCTTCCTTTAAATCAAAGGGTGAGCGCGGAGTGCTAGAACTAGAAAATGGTAGCCGAATACCTCTTAAAGCAGCGAGGTTTGAATACTTAGAAGAACAATACTGGGTCTGCGACTCCCACGCCTACCATAAAATCCCTGCCAAAGGAAAAGGTATCTACTATCCGGCACTACTAAAACCCTCTACGTCCTTCGCCACACACCTTCCACAGGGCAGGTGACAAAACAAGAGGAATTTGCAAGAAAAAATGGTAGCCGAATACCTCTTAAAGCAGCGAGGTTTGAATACTTAGAAGAACAATACTGGGTCTGCGACTCCCACGCCTACCATAAAATCCCTGCCAAAGGAAAAGGTATCTACTATCCGGCACTACTAAAACCCTCTACGTCCTTCGCCACACACCTTCCACAGGGCAGGTGACAAAACAAGAGGAATTTGCAAGAAAGCCGTGATATAGTAAATCAAACAGCTCAACTTACCAAGGGAATATTACTCGGGTGTTCCCTTACAAGTATGCTCCCGGGAATAGGCACTGTATGTCTTAAAAAATTTACGTTACGCCTCCAAGCTGTAATAGAAATCATGGCTCACGAATTCAGCAAAAGTCACAAAAAACTCTCGAAGGCCGTTGCTACCTTGGCTGACACCCAAGAAAAACTCTGACAAATAGTAATTCAAAACCGTATAGCCCTTGATTTTCTCCTCGCCGCCCAAAGAGGGGTGCATGCACAGTCATCGGACCAGAATGTTGTGTATGAGTTAACAGTTCTTTTACCATAGTTCAAACCCACCTCAATAATGCAGCTGTCCATATCCAAAAAGCCGAAGATGCAACTAAAATCCCCCAAAATACATCTCTTAGCTAGCTTGCTGATTAGTTCCCTTCCCTTATGGGATGGCCTAGACCTTTTATGCTAAGTATAATTAGAATAGTTATAACTATAGTCTGCCTGTTATGTTGTTTTCAGTGTTTGTGTTCTTTGGGGCAACAGTTTATGCAAAGGCAAATAAAAATATATGGTCAGTTCATACAAATATCCAGCAACAATCATCAAAACCTAACTCCACTAGAGCTTAAATATTTAAAAGTGTGTTCCAAAACTTCCTCTGGAAATTTAAAACAAAGCGGGGACCTGTGGTGGGCAAGTTTGTTATTACCCTGAAATAAAATAGTTTTCTGATAGCATGCTGTTAGGTTAACAATAATTTAGATTATTGAGAAGTATTAGCTTTGCAGCTGAATACAAGGCATGACCTGTGGCCTAGCAATGCTGCTGACCACAAGGCAGAATAATAACTAAGCCAGCCATTAGCTTATGTTAAGTAATCATTTTAACTGTGTTAACCATTTTCTGAGTGAAACGTTTCCGAGTGAAATGCAGCAAGTGAATCTGTTTCTGTGTGCTGTAAATCAGCTACAGCAAGGAACAAGACAAGACAAAGAAGCCATTGTTCTAAGTACAATGATCGTGTCCTTAAGAAATATCTACTACTGTGCAAGTTTTTACTAACGTATCATAATGTTACTGTTACTTAACTTCAGTTTTTTAAAAGTGCTAGTTCAGCTTAACAGAAATATACTGTTATAAAAATGTATAAAACACTGTCCAAGTATTACTTTTGTTAACCTTGCAGTCTTGCCTTATTATAAAAAGTATAAAAGAACGCCCCACCCTTTGGGGGGGGTGGGGGGAGGCATTTTACCTCTTTGCTGGCTTATAGTCATTACTCAAGCAAATATACTGCAGTAAAACTTTTACCCGCATTGCCTAGTTCCTATACAGCTAAACAACAAACTCCAGAGGGTTTTCTCCCACAACACGTGCTCACTTGTCTGGGGAAAAGAATCTTGTAGGTGAAAGGATTGGGCCCCAGGCGGATGCCTGCCTCCCTGGCAGCCTGGTCTGGGGATAGGCACCTGTGGAGACTCGGATTGGGCCCGAAGCAAAAAAAGGATCAGGCCTATGGCCACTTTTGCATTCTGGGGGCTCCTGCAGCTCTCAGGAAGCCGGAGGCCACCGGGGTAGCTCCTTCCTGGCCCTATGGGAGAATGGGAGGAGGGGGGGGGGGGGGGGGGGCGGTTGGGGGCGGGGGGGGGGGGGGGGGGGGGGGGGTGTCCCAGAGCTGCTGAGGGCAACACAAGCCAGCAGGGACCCAGTATGGGGTGCTGGAAGCCCAGGGAGGTGGTGCAAAATTGGTATCGGGCTCCTAAGGCTTAGGGCAGCAATAGCCCCGCTGGCTCCCCCTTCAGCTGGCCCCAGGGGGTGGTGCCACCTCAAGCAAAGGCCCAGGCCCCTCCACGTAGCAGGGGCCTGGCAGCCTGTTGGCAGATCACCCATGGCCCTGGGATGAGCAGGAAGGCTCTATCAGGAGCAGGACTGGGCCTGCGGCTGGTTTTGCATTCCGGAGGCTCCTGCAGCTGCCCAGATGCTGGGGGCTGCCAGAGAAGGGACTGGCTGTTCCTGGGGGCAGCATAGGGATTCCCCAGGGGCAGCATGAGCTGGCAGGGATGTGGCACAGGGCACTGGAAACTAAGGAAGGCTGTCCCAAAGTTGGATCAGAGCAGCTAAACCAGGAAGTAGCAGGAGGGGGAGGGGCTGCTTTTCCCCCCCCGCACTGAGCACCAGTTTGTCCCATGCTGTCACTGTTCAGCCTGGGCCCAGCACCGGCTCTGGGCTCACCTGTCGGGGCTGAGCAGCAGCAGCAGGGCAAACTGGTGGTTGGGGCAGAGGAAAGTCGTCCCCCCTCCAACCATTGGGTAACGTTTGCTGTGGCCACCCATGCCACAGTAGGTGGGATGAGGCTCCTTCACCACCGCTTGCGAGCTGCCCCATGCGGCAG